TGACTAACCAAACTCTCTGTAAGTTTTGCATTTTTTGTAGTTATTTATGACATTGTCATCAAAAATTAAGTCCCTAAATAGTATTTCAAGTTGAAGATTATACACAACACATTTTGTCTGCGTACGACGATAAAATCAAACAAGATTAACAAAATTAAGTACCGCCAAAAACGTAGACCTGGCGAACGACCGAAACTGACAGCAGTCAGACAGACCGAGTCTTCTGGATCTGACAATAAAGGCAAATGGTTAGGAAACTATTATATAACAGCAAGACTTACTGGTTATGAGTTAGTGATACCAATTCCAATAACCTTTTCTGTAATCATAGCTAACACAATTTTAAGTAACTTATAATTAGGATCACATTGGCGGAATATGCCTAAGCCGAATTTTTTTTTCTCGAAGGATTCTGATCCATTTGTACATAATACTTACATTTAAGATATTTTCTTCCTACAGAAAGAAAATTGATTTATTTTACGCTTTACTTTACTGGTAAGTGTAGGCTGCTTGTTTTGTTTTCATGAAATGTAATTGTTTTGTTATTACAGTATTATAATTTTATTTTATTACTAATTTTTATTATGATTAATATTTTTATTATTAATATTATTGTTGGCATCCTTGCCAGTTGTTGATATTATTATTATTATTATTATTATTATTATTATTGTTATTATTATTATCATTATTATTGTTATTATTATTATTCGTTTATTACTAATAGTATTCTTTTGTTACTATTATTTATTATATTATTTATTATTACAACTATAATAATGTTAGTACTATTTTTATTGCTATATTATTGATTTTAAAATTACTTATTATTGTATATAATTTTGTAATGTCATTTTTATGTCTACAGTTCATTAGGTCATTCTTAAATTTTGAACTTTTTTTTTTTCATTAGATTATGCCAGGACGAATCAATCGTCTATTTAATCGAAATTCTCAAGGACGTCAAAAAAGGTAAAAAAAGTTTTCACATCTTCATGTTAAACCTGCTTTAATATAATTTTAGTATCTATGGTATAATGATGATAATATGTATAAAAAAATATCTTATCAGAAATTTTGTTCAAAAGAGTTTTCGTAAACATACATTGATATTTATAAATTATGCTAATGCATTATAGATGTATGATAGTTATAGCTACTTTCTTGTTCTACAGACGGTCCGCATTTGCCGGTTTCTTCAACAAATATTTCAAATGTTGTTTTACTGTTGAGAGATCTGAGGTTGATGGAGATCTTAAGCCAGCACATCCACCACTGATTTGGATCAATGTGCCATCACATATCCGCGTTATACTGTTGAGGATCATGTATGGTATTGCCGTAGACCTTCCACGTGCTTCCATCGCGTACTGTGATTCTGATCCACAATTTGACATCTTAATCCGACAATACGCTAGAGCACTTGTTCTTCTAGATGGCAGCTATTTTGATATCAACATTCCTGTTGTGGAGGATATGGAACCAGACCACTTGGCTGCACTGAACCTCATTCGAAAGTGCTTCTCGCTGGATGTGATCAATTGGGTCCCAGCTCTGAAACAACCTATTGTCGTCGAAGGAAGGTTTGTGAACTGTAAGCCAAAGCTTGGTGATGACGTTCTTACAAGATCTATTCAGAAAGCCTTTGTTGACAAGAAAGATCAAGTAATCGACACGAAGATCTCATTTGCTAGTATTTCAATGTGGCATCGGCCTCAGCTTGAATCATTATCTGCTACCAAATTGCTCCACATGGTTAATGGAGGATTCAGTTTGACGACCAAGGTATCAGAGCCATACAAATTTACAAGTAATTAATAAAGTTCTCAAAGGATTGCTTATGGGTTCATTGATTTCTTTAAACTTTGTATTGGTTGTTTGTTAGTAAAATTAAACGTAATAATTATAAATGATATGTTACTCTATTATGTTCGCTTATCATTACCTTTGTCGCATATTTGTGTGTTATATTATTATTACAGCTTCGTGTTATCTAATCAATCCAAATCATTTATGAAGCGCCTTTCTTTACAGATACGAAGTGCTGGGAGTGTTATGGGAGTAAAGACATTGAAAACAGTTCAATATAATATTGACAACATCCATTTGGAAACCCGCGTTTTACCATCAATTGAGTTACCATCAAAACTTACTGTCAAGCACTCAGAAATAAAAGTAAGTTTAGTTAAAAAAAAAAAATCAAAGTTTTGAATGTATTAATATCCATAATTATTGGCTTGAGCCTCTATACAAGTTGTCAGCAACTCTAAAAATGCAATTTTTTTTATGACTGTTTTTAAATCCATAGGCTATGAGCTTAGTTAGCCAACCTCTCTTTACCACTCCATGTATGCAGTTTGGCGACATATGCCACCGATCATATCCAACTATGAGACCCAAAGGCGACACCATCCGACCATTCACTTTGAACATCTGCTGTGGTATCAACCAAAATTTCAAAGTATCATTCAAATGTTTTCGATATGCATTGGACATTATCTTCAGTGGTGAACAAGCTCGGCCGATTCTCGCAAAGTCTTTGAAAACAGTCAAATATAATATAGGCAACATCCATTTGAAAACTTGCTTTTTACCATCAATTGAGTTACCATCTCAGCTGACTGGAAAGCACTCAGAAATAAAGGTAAGCCTAGTTGGAATACAAATTTTTTAATGCACCAGTATTACCTTGTACTTACACAAGTTGAAAGCGAAGTTACCAAATGAGTGCATAGTTTTTACGACTTTTAAAATTCTTGATCCACAGGCTTCTAGCTTAATTAGCCAACATCTCGTTACCACTCCATGCATGCAGTTGGGCAACGAAAACCAATGTCGTGATATAATATGCCATCAACGCTATTCCACTGTGAGACCCAGTAATGGCACCATTCGACCATTCAGTTTAAACATCTGCCGTGACATTAACAACACATTCAAAGTGTCATTCAAACATTCCCAATATACATTGGATATCACCTTTGATGGTGAACAAGCTCGGTCGTTCCTCGCAGTGATCGCAAGAATGCTGATCTACTTTGTTGGTAATAACATCCATAACGGATTTACTGTCGTAAGTGTTTCGCATCTTTACACTACATTTAATGAGTCCCTTTATAATTTTGATAATTGTTTGATCGATTATTTGATTAAGTTGATTGATGGATTCAGTTAATCATTCATTCATTCATTTTATTTCACTGTAAAATACGCTATGTGCCTATTATATTACTTGTACTTTTGTATTATGTATATTGATAAATGCTATGTATGTTTATAGAAATAATACGCAACTCATTTGTTTTCGCATTTGCAGAACGGACACCACATCCTATTCTTGTACAAACAGCACGGACGATCAGTCGTGCCAAAGCTCGGTCAGTAGTCAAAGCAGCTCTACCAGTGCCGTCACTGACGTTCCTGCAACATCAGTAATTGCAGCTCTTTCGCCTCAGAAAACTAACTTGCTAGCAGGCCATCTGCCAGAATTAGTCTTTATTGATACTGATGAACTTGAAAGCAACAGTCTTTCTCTCGGGGGACCAGAATGGCTGAAAAAATTTTTCCCTCCAAAACCCTGCCTTACCACCCCAACACCTGCCGAGAAAGGTGATCTCTTATACACATCTAGATGTGTATAAGAGACATGCTTACAGCAACTCTGCCACAAAAGATGCTTAAACTATCAGAAAAAATTGCCTTACCAGTCTACCTCCAAAAACTGGACGACATTCTCCCAAAAAACATCAAGCCTATAGTATCTACAAGAGATTTGTATCCCGTGGTTGTATCCGGAGAGCAGGTGAGCCCTCTTTTGTTTGCTATTCAAAGTTAGTAAATGTGAAAAATAAACTATTCTTAAAATTTAGCAATATATTTAATGATCAAATACATTGTTTAAATTACTTTTTTTTATTTTTGTGCAGGTTCAACTTGGCAAGGGTGCCTATGGGGAAGTCTGGCTAGAACGCCTAGAGTGCAATGGCCCTCTTGTTGCGGTAAAATCTTGTGACATTACTGGTCAAGGCGATAGAGAAAAACAACTAAAAGACAAGTTCTTAGTAAGCCTTGAAGCGCGTGTGCTAGCCTTCTTGTCGAAAAAAAGCAGAGCTTTCCCCTACGTTTATGGAATTTGCGAAAAAGTAAGATTTGGAACCCGAAAGAGCATTATTATCGAATACGTCGGACATCCAACTAAATTAAAGTCTGTGACTCTCTACAAGGCCATCTTCTTCAAAGACCCACATCTTACAATTTCAAATGCACTGCGTGTGGCGCATGACATTGCAGAGGGCGTTCAGGTAATGCATCAAAACGGCTTCATACACAGTGACCTGGCAAGCAGGAATATTCTTCTTCATCATGATGGCAAGCGATGGACGGCAAAAATAACTGATTTCGGTTCAATCTCTCATGTATCAGCACCATTCGACTTCTTTCAGCTTCACAAAATTCCTGCAGAACAACGTCAACAGTGCATAGCAGCTCACAGAGAATATGCACCAGAGTTATTTTTCTCAAATGCACCCCCAAACTTTGCGTGTGATATGCATAGCACTGGAAATATGTTTTTGGAAATGGGTTCCAATCTGCAGATAAAATTTCTATCCAAACTCGGAAAACTCTGCACTCACATCGACCCAAAAAGAAGGCCAGTCATTGACGTTATCGTCAAAATGTTGGCAAACAAAATCAATACCGGTAACTTATAAAACTAATTGGCCTTCATGTGGTTTTTCTAATAAATCTTTGTTTTGCAAATTTTATAGCCATTATTTATAGACATTACGAATCATGAAACAATACTCTTTTTATAAATCATTGAGCAAAATACGGTATATAGAAATTATAATAATTGAAAATCGTGCAATAGTTATTTAAATTTGAAAATAAATACCTTAATTTAATATAAATTTTAAAGAAAACGTTGTATTGTCTTGTTATTTTGCTGTTACCTTGGGATTTCTCACATGACTGAATGTCCTACGCGGCGTCCATTATTGCACAAATGCAAGCAAGAAATTTACTTGAAACTGGCAAGAAATTTACTTGACTTGTATAACTTAAACAAAACAAAACAAAAACCAAACAAACAAACAAAACAAAAAAAGTATTATAATTATATTGACATCCTCCCTGCGCCACTCGATATTGCCTATGCCGATTATATTTCCGCCAACACAGTCCTACTCTATTTCTAAGCTCTAAAATGTTTTTAAAAAAATAAACAAAAAATATAGTTTTGAATATACTAATGGTAGGTGTGTCATACACAAATCATTATCTCTAAAGAAGGTTGTATTGTTGGCGCAATGAGGATGAACGAAAAAGTCTGCTTGCAAGTATTCATGACGTCATGCACGATTCAAAGTTCTGGCTTTGGCGATTGCGGATCCAGATATTTTGCCAGGTGCGCACGTGGCAATCAATGGTCCAAAAGGATTTCATGATAGGTTCTGAATGTTTCCTTACCTAACCAGAAACTATATGTCCCCTGGCAGCTTCGGATAAATGATTTTCACACTTGGTCATTGGTATTTTAGGCAGCTGTCAGAAGGTGAGCCGCAGATTTGTATAATGAAATGTAAACTTTTTGGCACTCCAAGTAAATGAAACCTTTTAGTCGTAAAAGTTGCATAATTTTACTATTAAAAATGGTACACTTTCAAAGAACATGATGTTGGTGACGTTGATGATGTTGACAAATGATGGTGATGGTGGTTGTTGTACGATGTTGATGTTATTAATGGAATGAAGGAAATACGTCAGGCTGTAGATATTTAGCCGATAGAATGCCATTAACACCTATTTATAATGGTTAGCGAGGGACACCAGTGGCCACCGAAAAAGGAAGGGGCAGGGGAAAAGATCCCGGGCCCAAGCTTACCAGGGGGCCCAAAGAAAGTGCAGGTAGCTTTTTTTTCAATATTTTTTTTTTTCAAAATTATTAATTACTGTCATGGGCCCTCAATAATGTCATGGGTCTCCTAATAATAGGCCCCTCTCCAGATTGACAGGGCCCCAAAAAATGTTGTTTGCGCCTTCGGCGTAATCTTCCGCGCTTCGCGCTCGTAACTGGGGGCCCACACCAACCCTTGCCCCTGTTACAGTTTCTTCTCTTGGCGGCCCTGACTGGAGAGAGACATCATGAAGTTAAAAAAAATAATAGTCATTGTCCGATACAAGATGCTTCAAACATAAATCAGTTACACATATTATTATTACAGTAACACACGGAAATCTCCGCAAAGCTTAATGTTTATTAATACCATCAATAAATTGGTTTCATTTGATTTCTTACATGAGAGAGTAATGTATCATACCTCACTATTCCAACACATAATTGGGGGAAATTAGATTTTAATATATAGATAAACTTTAGCAATATAATATTGTTATGGAAATTTATAAGCGAGAAATCCTAAATTTGTAATTTATATTTTTGGTCTTCCCCTACGAGTGGGATAGTGCCACGTGTCAGCCCCTGCCCCCTCACCGTTGGCGCTCCACGTTTTTTCACAACCAAAAATGTATATAATATTACCAGGATTTATTCTTTGCTGAAAAAAAGCAAAATCGATGACGTTATCTTCATCTGATCCAAACATGTCACTAGCATTCTCGACTTTCCTATCGTAGAAACGCAGCTTTTTAAACTTGGTGGCTGCTGTAATTTTTCTTCTAGTGCCCAATGTGGCGTAAGCTTATATTTTTTTCCCAAAATGATATACGGAAATGACACTCTTAATTCATCATCATCACATCACTATTACTTGTCTTGATCTCTTTCTTTTTTCTATGAGCGATTTTCGGCAACATAGTGATCAAATTCGTATGTGTGATATACCATAGGAAATAAATTTTAAAACATTGTCTTTGTTCTAAATACTTTACATTACCTGCTTCAAAGCCGTGATCCCACACGCCACCCGAAAATTTGAGGAAATAGTACCTCTAGATGGTCGGAAATGACACTCTTATATAGTGAACTTCGTCATCATCATTGACTTGTAGTCAAAATCAAGCACCAATTCAAGAAATTGTTAATGATTTTCGGCAATCAGAGATCTAAATAACCTGTGTGTAATTTACCATAGTTGGAGCAGATTGGCGGAAGAAGGGGGTGGGTGAAGGTCCACGATCACCTCGTGGAAAATTTTAGAATATGGACACATAGGTGCCCGGAAATTGCACTCTCATACTTTAGAAATCGTATCGGTACTGTGTTCACAAAGACAAAAATAATATAACAGCAATACAATACAACAATTACTTTTCTTAATAAAATTTAATTGGTTCGATTGCACCAAATACACCCCTGCATGCGCCACAGCATAGAAAATAAAACTTAAAAACATTGTCTTTGATGTATTTACTTTACTTTACCGACTGCAAAGACGTGACTCCACACCCATCTCAGCCCCATCATAGTTGGGGCTGAAGTGCGAAAATTTGGGGAAATAGTACCACTATATGGCCGGAAATGACACTCATGTAGTAATCATAACATCACCATTATGTCGATTTGAAGTGCCAACAAATCTCTAATGATCTTTTATCGGCGATTTTCGGAAACGAATCCAATTAAAATGTGTGATGTACCATAGAAAATAACACTTAAAAACATTGTCTTTGATGTATTTACTTTAGTTTACCTACTTCAAAAACGCGAGTCCACACCCATCTCAGCCCCACCTTGGTTGGGGCTGAGGTGCGAAAATTTGGGAAAATGGTACCTGTAGATGGCCGGAAATGACACTTTTATGTAGTCAAATTCATCATCATCTCATCACCATGGTCTTTTATCAGCGATTTTCGGCTACCATATAGGCCTAGATCTAATTAATCTGTACCATAGAAAATGTAAATTAATTGTCTGTATGTACTTACTTTTTTTTTCTCTTTTGTGGGGATTTCACCCACCTTTATTCATTTTATTCATTTTTTGTTGTCATTAGAGACATAAGCATAACAAAGAACATGAGAAATTAAAATTCAATTGCACTGAAAAAGGGGTCAGACCACTGGCTGACTAGAAATTACAACTTTTCTTTTCTAATTATTTAATATTTTCAAAAATGTTACTTTATAATGATTTTTTTATTTATTATAAATACACAAATATGTATACATATATGCACGTACTTATACATACGTGCACATGCACATACTTACACGTATATGAATATATAAACATTCACAAAAACAATCGTGCATAGAAATATATACATGCATCATCATTAAATACACATTCATATACAATTTGTTTATTATATATATATTTTTTTCCTTTTACGGGGATGATACCCATAAAAACAACAGATACAGGGTCTGTCAATCTCGGCTGCTATACTATTTACTTTACTTCACCTACTTCGTGTGCCGAAAATTTTATACGTTTCTCATACTTCTCAAATTACTGGTACTGGTACTGGTATAGGCATTTATAATGCGCCTCTTCCTTGTGGTTATAAAGCGCAGTTCCTTTCCCTGGTCATTGGGTCCACATGCTAAGTGTTGCTGTTGGTAATCAGCGCAGGAGCAGGCAACCCCACCAGGTACCCATTTATACTCCTGGGTGGAGAAATTACAACAAAAGCACGAGCACTCGAGTCATGTATTATAGGTAATTCAGACGTTAGTGATAGGCCTACCGGTATCTTGCTATAATATAAGATGTAGAGTACCGTACTGTACAGCGCTTTTTCGTAGCAGTTCATTTCAACTATTTTCAGGCATCATCTTTACTTATAAAAATTACATTGCGGTAGAAATGTGAGGGTGACCAACGCCCTTAAAATATGTGGGGGAACCGTCCCCCATAATCCGCGCCCATGCCTCAAACAATCTACAATCTGGCGGGCCTGTACATACGTACATGCGTTGAATAGAGAAATCGCCTGCATGGGGGAATAATCTACCTTCGCCATTCCTATGACCTGTAATTGCTGTGCTTTATTGTGTAGGTGTGTTCCTTTTTTTTTAAAATTTCATTGATGTTAATTTTATCAATAGTTGAAGGGGTGAACGCCGCACCAACAGAAAAAAAAAAGTTGTTCAGTATAAATGTTGCTGTTGTATTTGTTGTTTTTTTTTTCGCCTCAAGCCTGGTTTCCATAGAATCACTACACAGTCGCTACTTTTTAACTGCAATCATTGCACTGCGTAGCTATCCACGGGAGCAGTCCCCCCCCCCCACCGACGCACTGCACTCGGTAATGCTCCTTGATTAAGCTGAGCAATCAGAGTCGCCAAAGGAGTCAGTGATAGCGCGTAGCGATTTTACTGAAAAACAAGCTACATTGATATCAAGTATATTTTGAGGAATGAATAAATAAATTTGACTACGTCATGCGCGAGGGAAGAAAGGGGTTATGGGATTGATTTATACGCGTGCGTTATTCTTATACAGGAGGAATCGCAGGTGTTGCGCGCTCATTAGTACGCACTCATTCCAATCCCATACACCGATCGCACACGAACTTCTGGTGCCCATTTTTCGTCTTTGCTACTAACTGAAATCAGAAAAGCAGATTTCAATAATAGTCTTAACAATGGAGGTACAGTACTATGTTCAAACCATTTCGGAATTGCTGCATTACAAAAATACAAATAAAATGCGACGATTGATGCATTATTGATGGTATTATTCTACTGGGATTTTACAGAAGGATTCAAAAAACGGATAAGATCTTGCATAGTGCGCGAACAT